AAATTAATTGAAGGCCTTATCGGCCACAGAACCCGAAATTGATTACGCCATTGTGATTGGCATAATTTTTAGAGCCTACGATGAAATTTAATTTGGAAATTGATTCGGATCAGATTATATTAATTTAATTAATCATAAATTCTTAATTATTTATTATAATTCCTCTTTTTAATCTAATTTTAATTTAGTTATATTTTAAATCAATCCTTAATTATTATTTATTTTATATTTTAAATTAACTTTTAATTATATTTTATATTTTACATCAATCTTTAATTCTATTTTATTTCTACTATCATCTTAATCTCATTTTATGTTTGGAGAAAATGGAGGTAAGTATGTCTTTTTATTTTGTTAATTTCAATTTATATTTTTAGAAAATTAAGTCTGCTCTACAAAATAATGAGTGTGATACGCCTTTTATTAGTTTGGATGGAAAAATTAACAGTATCACTTTAGTCCAAAATTATATGGGGACTTTCTAACTATATTTGAATGATAAAGGGGACTTTCTAGCTATATTTGAATTATAAAGTGGTAAAATATTCTAGTCTCAAACCACCGGGGTAATATGAATTTTGCCCATGTTTTTAAATTTGCAAATGATTTCTAACTCAACAAATGGCTATGTACAAAAAACTAATATTTAAAAAAAATGAGTTTGATTATTTATTTATTTATTTATAATTTATATTTAAACTAATATTTAACTCAACAAATATTTTTTTTTAATTTTAAATTATTTTTTCAATTGAGTTGTGACCAACAGTTTTTACTCCTAAATTTTGAATGTTTAAAAGACCTTACAAGTGGAATTTCTTTTAAAACAAAAAAATTGATGTTTAGTTTGGGAATAGACTATTTTAGTAATTTTTTTAACTAAAATATGAGGTGAAAAAATTCGTATATTTAGAATGATTTTTAACTTTTTAGAAGAAAAAAAAAGAGTGTAAAAAATGGAGAAAAAAAAAATCTTTTACTTTTGTATAATTCTTTGGCTTTTTAACATTTTTAGTGATGCTTTTGAATTTTTAACTATCTTTTTGTTACAAAAATAAATAAAATAAGTGATCAATAAAAAAATATATCTAATTGTCTCACTCACTTATTTTAAATTATACATTTTGTAATGGGCATCATCCACTAGTAGTATATGATATTGTCTTCAGTGTTACCATTATATTGACAAGAGTCTATGTCAAACTTATGGAAACAGTAAACACAGTATTTGAATCAGGAAAATGCTAATCTATCTATATATTATATAAGGAAAAAGAAATTTCTAGCAAGAAGGCTTGTGAGAACTCCAAAGTCTTATTCCATAATTGTTAATTTTTGTGATTTTAAAAACATTTAAAAATAATTCTATTGGCTAACAAAGTAATTATAGATTAAAAAATAAATAAAAAACCACCTAAAATTTTGAATTACAAGTTCGTAAAATCTCTCCCCCCAATATTTCTCTCTTTCCTAAATCTCATCTTATAACAAAATAACTATACATTAAAAAAACATTATACATGAAAAGAAAAAAGAAGCACAAATCTCATCTCATAACTGTAACGCCTTGCTATTTCATATATGAGTCCATTGCAACCAATATAACAATTTGGGAAAATTACCAACACTCCCCTCGAGGTTTGACTAAAATACAAATTCGCCCCTGAGGTTTGAGAAATTACATCCCGCCGGGCAATTTGTCATTTCCCAAACCTCAGGGGAGAATCCGTATTTTAGTCAAACCTCGAGGGGGGTGCTGGTAATTTGCCCTAATAATTTACTCCAAAAACCATCATGTTCACTAGACTAAGATTTAAATTTACAATTGCCATGTTTACATGTCTATGAAACCTTGTACCCAACTCCAAGTTCAACAAACAAAATGACAATTACAAAAAAAGAACCCTTTAGGTATACAAGACAACAACAAAATAGATCTAACAGTCCTAGTACAAAACTATAATGAAACCTTGTACCCAACTCCAAGTTCAACAAACAAAATGACAATGACAATTACAAAAAAAAAAAAAAACCCTTTAGGTATACAAGACAACAACAAAATAGATCTAACAGTCCTAGTACAAAACTATAAGTCTTTACAGCAAAATATTTTCAACTGTCAATCCCAACACAGCTTACTTCAAGTCACCACTGTAGTCGTACAACATTGTTTCCTGAAAAATAAAATATGGGTGAGCAACTTGCCCAGTAGGACTACATTTAACCAAGTATTTAATTATTTGAGCAAGCTTATGGCATCATCGAGACAAAATAATCTAAGGAGTTTAGGTATACTCGTAATCTTCATCAATTATGTAAATAACATGTCAATTGCACAATATCAATCACCTTTTACTTGTTAGGGAAAATATATGATTTCCCACAAGTAAATCAATCAATGGGAATAAAAACTAATGTGGAAAAATTAAATCAACAGCAACATAAGAATTTTTACATGGTTCCCTCAATGTGAGGTACGTCCACGGGGTCGAAATCTGATTCCACTATCAACCAAAAAGTTTCCAAACAATTACAAACTAGACATGAATGGTCTCACAAACCACTTTTAGGTGAATTCCAAATAATCACAAATAAACAAGAGAAGAGACCTCACCAAATAGATGAACAAAAGTTTTCGAAACAGAGTTGTAGAAAACCCAAAATGATAGACCCAAATCAACTTTAAATTAATCCAACCGAAGATGCACTGAGAATGTTCAAAGCAGAACTCGAAACCAATCAAATCTTCCCAAGCATCAGAGTAAAGAACCACACCCACCGAATTGAATTTTGCAGCAAGCACAATTGCTACTACAATGATGATAATCACTGCAGCTTCACTCATGGAGAAACAAACACAATACCAATATATATTGTGAACTCTTGGGCTTTTCTTTTTTATCAAACCCTAACTGCTACCAAACTAATTATAAAATACCCATTGGGCTTCCACAAATTATATATAATATATTAAAAATATATTATAACTAACACCAAGCCAATTAAATATTTTAATAAATTAATTGGGTCCAATACTCTAATAAGGAGGTATACCTAACAATTCTCCCCCTACCGACTTAGGTGGAGACATCAACCATACCCACCAAAGTTCAACACTTCAAATGTTTGTCCCTCGACAAAGTCTTTGTCAACATATCCATAATATTATCATCTGTGTGAACCTTTTCGAGTTGCAACAATTTCGAATTTAACACATCACGAATCCAATGGTATCTCATATCAATGTGTTTTGATCTCGAATGAAAAGTAGAATTTTTACTCAAATAAATAGCACTTTGACTATCACAATAAAACATATACCTTTCTTGCTTCAAACCCAACTTTTGCAAAAATTTCTTCAACCATAACTCTTCTTTGCAAGCTTCCGTAATGGCAATAAATTCAATTTCGATAGTTGAGAGAGCCACACATTTTTGTAACTTAGATTGCCATGCCATAGCTCCCCCTGCAAAAGTCATCAAATACCCCGAAGTAGATTTCTTAGAATCAACATCATCGGCCATGTCAGAATCTGTTATCCCATCAAGCATCGGCTTACCATCCCCAAAACAGAAACATACTTTCGAAGTCCCTCGAAGATACCTTAGAATCCATTTTACCGCTGCCCAATGTTCTTTACCCGGATTAGAGAGAAAACGACTCACCACACCAACGACGTGAGCAATATCCGGCCTTGTACAAACCATGGCGTACATAAAAGAACCAACCGCTGAAGCATAAGGAATTTCTAGCGTCTCTTCCTTGTCTTTCTCACTTGTAGGACATTGATTTGAACTAAGCTTGAAGTGACTCGCAAGTGGACAACCAACCGGTTTTGCTTTATCCATGTTGAATCTCTCAAGAACTTTCTCAATGTAGCTTTCTTGAGACAACCAAATCAGCCCCTCTTTGCGAACTCGAACAATTTTCATACTAAGTATTTGCTTTGCCGGTCTCAAATATTTCATAGCAAAAGGCTTGCTCAACTCGAATTTCAACCTGTTAATCATGGTAGAATCTTGACCCACAATTAACATGTCATCAACATAAAGCAAAAGAATAATAAATTTGCCATTCGAAATTTTTTTCACAAACACATAATGGTTCGAAATGGTTTTTATAAAAACCATTATTCATCATGAAAAATTCAAATTTTTTGTACCATTGCCGTGGGGTTTGAATAATAAATTTTTTGTACCATACAAACTTTTCTTCAATTGCCAAACAAATTTCTCTTTCCTTTTCTCTATAAAACCTTCAGGTTGCTCCATGTAAATTTCTTCTTCAAGGTCACCATGAAGAAATGCGGTCTTCACATCAAGTTGCTCAACTTCAAGGTTCATACTTGCGGCCATGCCAAGTACAATACGAATAGAAGACATCTTCACAACCGGTGAGAAATTCTCATCAAAGTCAATACCTTTCTTTTGCCCAAATCTTTTTACAACAAGACGTGCTTTGTACCTTAGATTCTTGCCATCATTCTTCAATTTGAAAACCCACTTATTTTTCAAATTTTTCCTCTCCTTAGGCAACTTCACTAAATCATATGTGTGATTTTCAAGTAAGGAATTCATCTCCTCTTCCATAGCCTTTTTCCAATCATCTTTCTTTGCATGCTCAATTGTTTCTTGGTAGCTCTCGGGCTTCCCTTGATTGGAAATCAACACAAATTCATTGGGAGGATACTTTCTCGAAAGGTTGTCGGCCCCTTGTAGATTTCCTCAACTCAAGTTGTGGTGACGGTTCTTGAGTTGGATGCTCTTCCTCAATTTCGAGCTCAACTTCATTTGGAGTAGCATCATCATCTACATCTTCAAGAGGTGGCTGCACATCTCCCCCATTTTCATTATCCACCAAAAACGAAGGAGATGGATCAATGTCAATAAGGTCACTAGTTTTTGGCTTTGGTTTATCACTTTTGCCAAAGTCTTCAATTGTTTGGTCTTCAAGAAACACAACATCATAGCTTCGAATAACTTTCTTGTCGATCAGATCCCACAATCTATAACTAAATTCATCATGCCCATAGCCAAGAAAAATATATTGTCTTGACTTGCTATCAAGCTTGGACCTTTCATCATTTGGATTGTGAACAAAAGTTCGGCAACCAAACACTCTCAAGTGCTCATAAGACACATCTTTGCTGGTCCAAACTCTTTCAAAAACATCACCATTCAAAGGATAGGAAGGAGACAAATTGATTACGTCAACCGCCGTCCTCATTACCTCACTCCAAAAAGATCTCGGCAATTTAGCATGTGAAAGCAGACACCTTGTTCTTTCCATAATGGTGTGGTTCATCCTCTCGGCAACGCCATTTTGTTAAGGAGTCTTCTTAACTGTCTTTTGATGCCGAATACCTTGGCTATGACAATACTCATCAAATGGCCTAATGTATTCACCACCATTGTCTATTCTGATGCACTTCAATTTATGCCCTGTTTCTCTTTTAATCATAGCTTGAAAATGCTTAAATACATCTAGAACTTAATCTTTAGTTTTTAGTATGAAAGCCCAAACTTTCCTTGAATAATTATCAATGAAAGTAACAAAATAAAGTGCACCACTATGTGTTCTAACTTTCAAAGGACCACAAACATCCAAATGAATCAACTCCAAAACATTTGCTTTTCTAGAAGCAACATTTTTATGAAAAGAAACTCTATGTTGTTTACCTGTCAAACAATGAACATAAGTTTTAAGATGTGTACATTTCAAACCGGATAGAAGCTCTTTCTTGAACAAAGCTTGCAGCCCCTTTTCACTCATGTGCCTAAGCCGCTTGTGCCACAATTCAGTAGAAGTATCATCTTTAAGTGCAGTGACAACACCTTTACAAATTTTTCCTGGCATCGAATAAAGTGTAGGAGTTTTCTTGCACTTAGCCACCACCAAAGAACCCTTTGTAAGCTTCCATATTCCATCACCAAATTTTTTGTTGAAGCCTTCATCATCTAGCTTCCTGGTAGAGATCAAATTGGGGCGAATGTTGGGAACATGCCTCATATCTTTAAGCAACAACTTGCAGCCCAAATTTGTTTCTAAGCAAACATCACTCATGCCAATAACCTTGGACAAACCTTCATTACCCATTCGAACAGAACCATAATCTCCTTTGGTGTAGGTAGTGAAGAAATCAACTCGAGAAGTCACATGAAAAGAAGCATCGAAATCAATCACCCAATTGCTTTCTTGGCCCACAAAATTGATATTATCATCTTAACAAAGGACCATGAGATCACCATTGGTAGTAACCGCCGTTGTGTCTTCTTGCTTCTTATCCACACTTTTGTCACGCCTTTTCTCCTTGTTCTTGAGTTTTCGGCATTTGTGCCCTTTCTCATGACAATAATAGCACTCAATGTCTTTCTTTGAAAAAGAACCATCTCTTGATTTGTCATGGCTTTGATCACGACCATGAGGAGTCTTATTCCTCCCCCTTGTTTTGCTTCGACCTCTCACAACAAATGCCTCCGAATGAAAGGAACCCGCTGACTTTGTTCTAGTTTCTTCATTCAACAAGCTAGTAGTGCCTTGGCTCATTGTGACAACTCCATCGGGCGCCAAATTACTAACCGTCACAACCAAAGTCTCCCAACTTTCGAGCAAAGAACTAAGTAGCATCAAAGCCTGTAACTCATCATCAAAAACAATTTTCATATAAGCAAGTTGGTTAACAATACTCTTTATTTCATTCAAATGTTCCGAAT